GACAGGCCAGCGTCCTCCACCCGCCCGAGCGCAGACAGGCCAGCGTCCTCCACCCGCCCGAGCGCAGACAGGCCAGCGTCCTCCACCCCGCCCGGCGCCCTGAGCCAAGGCACCGTGCTCTGGTTTGTGTCTCAGCCTGGCAGCTGCCTAGAACTTGTGCTTTGAAAGTCCTATTTCCGAGGAGTCCCAAGGAGTAAAAAAATGTGGGTCCACATCTGAAGGCCATTAAGAGAAACCAGCAGAGTTTCCTGCGCCTGCCTATTTTTAGGACTTCAGTATCTGTTCCAGCCGTTTTCCTGTAGTGGACAGCAGTCAAGTCCCGAGGGTGTGAGCGGCCCCGCCTGCGGCCAGGGTCACGTGTGGCCATCCACTCTCCCACCCCCCACGGGCCGCGAGCCGTCCAGTCGGCATGGCTGCCCGAGGCTCACACCCCTCAGCATACTTTCAGCTTCGTGGGACGATGCCACCCAGTTGCAGCAAATGCTCCGTTTTCCGGGTGTCCACCCTTCCCAAGGGCTGCGGCCCCCAGATTGGGATGGCTCCCCCTCGTCAGTCTCTTACTGAATCGAGGCGTTCTTCTCCTTCGCCGTCCCGGGGCCGCCGGGGTCCCATCCTGGCCTCTGTTCCAGGGCCGGTTCGCCAACCCGCCAGCCGGCATTCCTGCGTTCCCTCTCTCTGGCCCTGCTCTGTCAAATCTTCCTCTCCTACAGCTCAAACCACCTCTCCTGAATATTTTAATTTACAGCTTTTTGGTTCAAAATCAATAATTGTCTTTGTTGCCCAGCAACCCACCGCTCAACTATTTACTTTGGGTGCGGCGGCCCCTGAAAGCGCCCTCAGCTAGGACTGTCCATGGCGGCCCTGCGCCCCTCTGTGTCCTTCGCCAGAGGCAGGGTGGCTGTTCAGACGCCAAACTTGTGCTCTTTGTCCTCGGACCTGGGAGCCCGGCTTCTCTCCAACACGTCTGGTGAAATCCTCATCCTCCTGCAAAGTTCACTTGAAGCTGCTTTGGCTTCGCTCACCTCAGCTCTCCTCTGCTCCTGCTCTTTTCTCCGCGCGTGGGCGGCACAGTCCGGCTCTGGGTGGAGTCTCGCTGGCTCGGCTCCCTCTGGCCCACCTGAGGGCAGGGTCTGCCAGCGCAGGTCCTTCCTGGATGCCGGCTGGCCACCGTGATGGAGAGGCAGAGGCCCGGTGTATGTCTTTCCTCCCCCCCACCCCGCTATGTGGAATACCTGGTGCCGTGAGGAAACTGAGGGACCCAAATGGCAACCGCGGCTTGCCCTCTTCCCTGGGGGAGGCGGCGCCGCC